GTTCCTTCCTCCCTCAGTTCCTCCCTCAGTTCCTTCCTCCCTCAGTTCCTCCCTCAGTTCCTCCCTTGGTTCCTTCCTCAGTTCCTCCCTCAGTCCCTCCCTCAGTTCCTCCCTCAGTCCCTCCCTCAGTCCCTCCCTCAGTTCCTCCCTCAGTTCCTCCCTCAGTCCCTCCCTCAGTCCCTCCCTCAGTTCCTCCCTCAGTTCCTCCCTCAGTTCCTCCCTCAATTTCTCCCTCAGTTCCTCCCTCAGTTCCTCCCTCAGTCCCTCCCTCAGTTCCTTCCTCCTCAGTTCCTCCCTCAGTTCCTCCCTCAGTTCTTCCTCAGTTCCTTCCTCCCTCAGTTCCTCCCTCAGTTCCTCCCTCAGTTCCTCCCTCAGTTCCTCCCTCAGTTCCTCCCAAAGTTAATCCCTCAGTTCCTCCCTCAGTCCTCCCTCAGTTCCTTCCTCCCTCAGTTCCTCCCTCAGTTCCTCCTTGGTTCCTCCCTCAGTTCCTCCTCCCTCAGTTCCTCCCTCAGTTCCTCCCTCAGTTCCTCCCTCAGTTCCTCCCTCCCTCAGTTCCTCCCTCAGTTCCTCCCTCAGTTCCTCCCTCAGTTCCTCCCTCAGTTCCTCCCTCAGTTCCTTCCTCCCTCAGTTCCTCCCTCAGTTCCTTCCTCCCTCAGTTCCTCCCTCAGTTCCTCCCTCAGTTCCTCCCTCAGTTCCTCCCTCAGTTCCTTCCTCCCTCAGTTCCTCCCTCAGTCCCTCCCTCAGTTCCTCCCTCCCTCAGTTCCTCCCTCAGTTCCTTCCTCCCTCAGTTCCTCCCTCAGTTCCTTCCTCCCTCAGTTCCTCCCTCAGTCCCTCCCTCAGTTCCTCCCTCCCTCAGTTCCTCCCTCAGTTCCTCCCTCAGTTCCTCCCTCAGTTCCTTCCTCCCTCAGTTCCTCCCTCAGTTCCTCCCTCAGTTCCTCCCTCAGTTCCTCCCTCAGTTCCTCCCTCCCTCAGTTCCTCCCTCAGTTCCTCCCTCAGTTCCTCCCTCAGTTCCTCCCTCAGTTCCTTCCTCCCTCAGTTCCTCCCTCAGTCCCTCCCTCAGTTCCTCCCTCAGTCCCTCCCTCAGTTCCTCCCTCAGTTCCTCCCTCAGTCCCTCCCTCAGTTCCTCCCTCAGTTCCTCCCTCAGTTCCTCCCTCAGTTCCTCCCTCAGTTCCTCCCTCAGTTCCTCCCTCAGTTCCTCCCTCAGTCCCTCCCTCAGTTCCTTCCTCCCTCAGTTCCTCCCTCAGTTCCTCCCTCAGTTCCTCCCTCAGTCCCTCCCTCAGTCCCTCCCTCAGTTCCTCCCAAAGTTCCTCCCTCACTTCCTCCCTCACTTCCTCCCTCAGTTCCTCCCTCAGTTCCTCCCTCAGTTCCTCCCTCAGTTCCTCCCTCAGTTCCTCCCTCAGTTCCTCCCTCAGTTCCTCCCTCAGTTCCTCCCTCAGTCCCTCCCTCAGTTCCTTCCTCCCTCAGTTCCTCCCTCAGTTCCTCCCTCAGTTCCTCCCTCAGTTCCTCCCTCAGTTCCTTCCTCCCTCAGTTCCTCCCTCAGTTCCTCCCTCAGTTCCTCCCTCAGTTCCTCCCTCAGTTCCTCCCAAAGTTAATCCCTCAGTTCCTCCCTCAGTTCCTCCCTCAGTTCCTTCCTCCCTCAGTTCCTCCCTCAGTTCCTCCCTTGGTTCCTCCCTCAGTTCCTTCCTCCCTCAGTTCCTCCCTCAGTTCCTCCCTCAGTTCCTCCCTCAGTTCCTCCCTCCCTCAGTTCCTCCCTCAGTTCCTCCCTCAGTTCCTCCCTCAGTTCCTCCCTCAGTTCCTCCCTCAGTTCCTTCCTCCCTCAGTTCCTCCCTCAGTTCCTTCCTCCCTCAGTTCCTCCCTCAGTTCCTCCCTCAGTTCCTCCCTCAGTTCCTCCCTCAGTTCCTTCCTCCCTCAGTTCCTCCCTCAGTTCCTCCCTCAGTTCCTCCCTCCCTCAGTTCCTCCCTCAGTTCCTTCCTCCCTCAGTTCCTCCCTCAGTTCCTTCCTCCCTCAGTTCCTCCCTCAGTCCCTCCCTCAGTTCCTCCCTCCCTCAGTTCCTCCCTCAGTTCCTCCCTCAGTTCCTCCCTCAGTTCCTCCCTCAGTTCCTCCCTCAGTTCCTCCCTCAGTTCCTCCCTCAGTTCCTCCCTCAGTTCCTCCCTCCCTCAGTTCCTCCCTCAGTTCCTCCCTCAGTTCCTCCCTCAGTTCCTCCCTCAGTTCCTTCCTCCCTCAGTTCCTCCCTCAGTCCCTCCCTCAGTTCCTCCCTCAGTCCCTCCCTCAGTTCCTCCCTCAGTTCCTCCCTCAGTCCCTCCCTCAGTTCCTCCCTCAGTTCCTCCCTCAGTTCCTCCCTCAGTTCCTCCCTCAGTTCCTCCCTCAGTTCCTCCCTCAGTTCCTCCCTCAGTCCCTCCCTCAGTTCCTTCCTCCCTCAGTTCCTCCCTCAGTTCCTCCCTCAGTTCCTCCCTCAGTCCCTCCCTCAGTCCCTCCCTCAGTTCCTCCCAAAGTTCCTCCCTCACTTCCTCCCTCACTTCCTCCCTCAGTTCCTCCCTCAGTTCCTCCCTCAGTTCCTCCCTCAGTTCCTCCCTCAGTTCCTCCCTCAGTTCCTCCCTCAGTTCCTCCCTCAGTTCCTCCCTCAGTCCCTCCCTCAGTTCCTTCCTCCCTCAGTTCCTCCCTCAGTTCCTCCCTCAGTTCCTCCCTCAGTCCCTCCCTCAGTCCCTCCCTCAGTTCCTCCCAAAGTTCCTCCCTCAGTTCCTCCCTCAGTTCCTCCCTCAGTTCCTCCCTCAGTTCCTCCCTCAGTTCCTCCCTCAGTTCCTCCCTCAGTTCCTCCCTCAGTTCCTCCCTCAGTTCCTCCCTCAGTTCCTCCCATCTCGCTCATGGAGCCATGAGGAGCTGACCATGGCAATGGAGCTGACCATGGCAATGGTCAACCTAGGCGAGCTGCTGGCGTGGCGTTTTCAGCAACGCTGAGGCCATGAGGTGACCCACCCACACAGAGGCGAGTTTTGAGTCAGATTGACAGTCACTTCCGGAGGTGCTGGCTTACATGATGGTGAGGCGGCTGAGGCTACCCAGAGTGGCAGGGATGCTGCCCTCCAGGGCGTTCTCCCGCGCATAGCTGGTGGGGACATGGGTGGGGAGGGGAAACGAGGGAATAGTGGGGGGTTGAGTCATGCATGAGTAGGGTTGAGTTGAATGCTGGGTAATGAGTGCTGTGTCCTGCGCAGCGCATTGCATAGTGTGTGGAAAGTGGGGAGAGAGTGTTCCGAAATTCGTGTTGTATATAAGCAAGTCAGAGTTTTGGGTTTGGGCTGGCTGCATGCATGGTACGCAGTTCCATGATGAGGGCATGCAAATTCATCAGCTGCTGTCTGTGTGTTTGCTGTGTTGTCTGTGTGTGCTGCCTCCATGGACTCACAGCGCCTGCAGATACTTCAGTTGCCCAGACTCGAGTGCAGCTCGCCCGTCAGACCCATGTTGCCTGCCTCCCTGCCATGCCCCACGCCATGCAACACGCCATGCCCCACGCATTCCAAACGCCATGCCACATGGCACATGAATGCCCGCATGGCAGGGTATATTGGGGGATACGTGCCACATGGAGCAGCTGGGGCATGGGTGCTCCCAAGAGGTGGTGACGCGGGGGCGCGGAGGCGGGGGCAGCGTGTGAAAGAGAACAATCTCACTGCGTGTGTGCTTACTGCTGCTACGCGGATGGAGGACGGCACATGCAAACGAAAAACATGGCACACGGGCGCATGGGCACATCGGGGCATCAGCGCATAGGCGCACGGGCACATGGATTGGAGCACGGGCACGTGCAGGAGGAGAAAGCAGAGGGGTGGCTCACTCACAGGTACTCAAGGTTGGTGAGGGTACCGAACTGTGAGGGGAAGGACCCCGTGAAGTAGTTGCGCCCTAGCTCTCTGCTCATGCACGAATGGGGGGGAATGCAGGGCGAGGCAGGTTCTTCAAAACATAAAGATACTGTGAGGGAAAGACCCTTTGAAGTAATCGCGTCCTACCTCCCTGCTCATGCATGGGTGCGTGCATGGTTGCATGCATGGGTGCATGCGATGCGTGCATGCATGGCATACAGCACGGTGAGGGCCTTGAGCCCATAGATGGCAGTGGGGATGGCACCCGAGAACGAGTTGTTGTACAGGCTCCTGCCATGGGGGAACACACAGATAAAGGAGAACCGGGACACAGCACACGGGTCCATTTGGGTGCATGTGGGTCTAGGTGGGTGCATGGAGGGGCAGGGCGAAAGGCAGGAGCAAGAAAGAGAGGAAACTGAAGAGAGACAAGGTATCCATGTAACCATGCGTTGATGCACCATGCGTCCATGCATGCATGCTTCATTCCATGCGTGCATGTGACTGACAGCTGCTGCAGGTTGGTGAGTGCGGAGATGGTGCTGGGATAACGCCACCCAGTCGGTTCTGAGACACCGACCTGCCATGCGTGGTGGCGGTGGTGGGGGGCGAGGGTGAGAAGATGGGAGTGGCGAAATGAGGGTGGTGGGAGTGCGGGAGGGTGGTGTGACTGGCGAGTGTGATGGAGGTGAAAGAAGGGCACGGATGACGGGATAGAGTGTTGCGGAAAGTGTGAGAGAAGCACGAGAGAGGAAGGTGAAGGCAATGAGGGCAATGAGGGCAATGAGGACAAGGGAAATGAAGCGCAGGCGTACAGGTAAGTGAGCAAGGAGAGCTTCCCAATAGCGGCAGGCAAGCCTCCTGAGAAGTTGTTGGCGGAGAGATCACTGGCGAGAGAGAAGCACGCGGAGAGAGATCGAAAGGGAGGGAGAATGGCTGGGGCGAGTTGGATAATGGCTGCACGCTGGCTGGTCGGCCTGTGGCATGGTGCTTGCACGCCATGCCTTGAAGGAGCTTCCATGCCATGCACAAGAGACTTCGGACTTGTACGTCGGGTGGGGTTTTGCACTTGTGGCCAGTGGGTGAGGTGCAGCTCGGTGTGGTGTGGCGTGGTGTGGTGTGGTGTGGAGTGGTAGATCACAAGTATTCGAGTGAGAGAAGGTTGCCGATGGTGTCTGGAATGGAACCACTCAGCATGTTGTTGTAGAAGCCTCTGTTGGAATTCATGCACACACACGGACACACACACGCACGCATGGATACACGCACGAACACATGCATACACGCACGCGCGCGCGTGCACACCACACACACACACATAGAGATGAGGATGGACAGCCACGCGCCTGTTGACACGCACGTGAATGCAGCGAGCAAGGCTTCTCATCTCAGCACCTATGCGCGAACATATGGAAGATTCACAGAACTGACGCAGGCACAGGCGGCATGGAGCAACATGCGCGCTCACAGCTTGGAGAGGCGTGTGGCATCTCCCACGGATGATGGCAGGAACCCTGTGAGCGACTGGGATAAGAGCCCCCTGGCAGCCGTGCAGGGGCGGAGGTGGTGTAAGGGGAGGGAGGAGAGAGGGGGAGGCGATGCTTGTGTCAGTCAGTCCCACAGGGAGAGACCACAGGTGACACGGGCGATACCTTTGAGTGACTGGGATATGAGAGGCCCCTGGCGGCCGTGCAGGGGCGGGCGGAGGTGTGGAGTGGGGCACGAGGAGGGAGGGCGTGAGAGGGTTGGGGATGAGGGATAAAAGAATGAAAGGGCGCGGGCGAGAAAGAATGGTGAGGTTAGATGCTACCATGCCCATGCCCATCCCCATGCCCATGCCCATGCCCATGCCCATGCCCATGCCCATGCCCATGCCCATGCCCATGTCCATGCCCATGCCCATGCCCATGCCATGCCACGCCACGCCACGCCACGCCACCCAATGCCACACCATGCTACGCAACACCATGCCCACCATGCCAACCATGCCATGTCGGGCCTGCAATGCAACACCATGCTATGCCACGCCATGCCATGCCATGCGATGAGCGCACATAGTGGTGAGCATGCCGTCCTGGTCGCATGTGACGAACACGGCGTCGCTGCAGTTGGAGGTCGCGTCCCATCCGCTCAGACTGCGCTTCCATGCCGCTTGGCACTCCGTCAGAAACGCCACTGCCGGGGATATCAGACGGTGCATTGCATTCTATGATTTCTATGACGCCACACACACAAACACAGTAGCAACGACCTAGAAAGCGCGGGTTTAAGCTTACTACTATCCCGGCCGGACTAAAGAACCTACGATGACTAAGCCGCGCACGAGGAGCGCGGCCCGACGCACTCGCGCGACAACTTGGCACAGAGCTGCGCGCGCGCTAGTAGTAGCGGCGGCGGGGAGAGCAAAAATGCGGGCGACAGGATCAACGCGGCAGCGTTTGAGGCGCCTCAAGAGTCACTCACGCTGCGACTTGGCCCAGAGCTGCGCGCGCGCGAGTGGCGGGGAGCGCACACATGCGGGTGACAGAACCAGCGCGGCGACGACGGCGGAGAGCAGGCGGAGATGGCTCAGCGGAACCATCCGCGGCTGGTGCGGCATGGGCGGCGGCGGAGGAGGAGGAGGAGGAGGCGACCCGGTGATATCACGCCCAATGTCGGTACAAAAGAGAACGTACTAATCGTTACTTTCCTAGCTCTACCACGTCGATGGAATATCGTTGCTCGGCGCGCAGCGGGTGCGCTTGGGCGCGAGCGCGGAGGGCTACAATGGAAGCGAGTCCGTGAATCCGTAGGTCCGCGCGCAGGAGCACACACTTCTCTCAGGCCAACCAGGAACCTTGACGGAGTCTAGGGGCTGTGCTAACACAATCATCATACTTCTGGACAACCTATTTCCTTCCAATGCGAGGAGTCGTGGAATGGTGGTGCCAGCGCCAGTGCAGAATGGAGGGAGCTCATCATTTATCGAAGGGAACACCTGGGTGGTGCTGACGGCGCGAGGAGTCGTGGAATGGTGGTGCCAGCGCCAGTGCAGAATGGAGGGAGCTCGTTTATCGAAGGGAACACTGGGTGGTGCTGACGGCGTGTTCGCGCCTCCCGTTTCTTCGCTTTGCTTGGATCTCGCACAGCGTACCAAACTTTTATCATAAGGGAACATTTCGCTGCCCACTCGAAAGCACGGGAGTGTATACAGAGAAAGCACGCGTGCCAACGCATTCATAAACACGACTGGAAAAAAGAATCAGGTCTTCGCATGGCACAAGAAAGGCGGGTAGATCCGTGGAGCCAGGGTTCAGCCTCCATACCCCAGCTGACCTGGCAGGCAAGCGGTCATACTTGTCATTGTCATGCGTTGACTTGGCAGATACTCTTTTTAAACCGGCCCTCTTGTTTCCTTGCGATCTGAGATACCGGTGTAATGTTTTCAGCCCAAAGGTGGAATATAGCTCAATCATACCGAAATAAAGTTTCAAACCACGTATTTAAGACCTTGAGATGTTGCACTGCGGGGGGTCTTGCATCCACAGGAATACGGTAGCTAGCTTGTGTGCCTCCTCGAGAACCGCCTCACTCACTTAGGTCAAGATAAACCATCCCTTGTGGCATAAATACAAGGACACACGAAGGCATCCCTACTAACGCAATAGTAGAGTTGCCTAAAAAAAAGCCGTCCTGACAAGGCAGCGCACACACGCACACACACATTCCTATCAAAACACCTGATTTTGTAAATCCACCGCCCTGCATGCAATGCCACAACCCTCCTCACTCCATCACTCACTGCGTTTCCTGCTCTCTCCACCGTCTCCATCCGACCATATTTTGATCGCATTCGCCACCTCCTCCTCTAGGTCATGCCCCTGCTTGTCGTCAATCTCCCGGTCAATCCGCCTCGCCATACGGTTACGGGTGGCACCACAGACCTCCTCGCGCAGAGCCTCCAATTCAGCAAGCACTTTGATCATGTTGGGGCGGAGCACAGTGGGCATGGCGGTGCAGCTGAGCGCCAGGCGTGCCAGGCGCAGGATGATGTCTGGTGGGGCGTCCAGAGAAGGGTCCTTGAAGGTCACCCCGTCGTTGGCCGCTACGAATGGTGCCACCTGGTGGGGGCCGGGGGGGAGGAGGGGGGAGAGGATGGGAGAGGAGGTGAGCGGGAGGGGAGAGAAGAGGAAGGGGAGTAGTAAGGGGGCTGACGGTGAAGAGAATGGTGTGTTGTGTGTGATGAGGACGGACAGAGGACGCACGTCAATGAGTATGTGAGATTCCAGGTGCGTGTTTGCACGTGCATGCCGACAAGGATGGAAGAGAGCATGAGCTAATGCATGTACTTGAACATGAGCTGTCAAAATAAGAGTGGAGTTGAAGCTAGGAAGGATTTGGTAGATAAGGTGTAATTAGGAAGGAATCCAAACACGTGCATGGGCATGTGCATGGGTATGGGCATGGAGATGAGCTAGACAACGGCATGAGCAAGGCAAGAGCAGCACGAGCATGGGCATGTGGAAGAGGAGCATGAGCAGTGAGGCGAGGGCGGGTGGCATGCACGGACCCATTGCTTGAGGTTGATCTGTTGTCATCTGCAGTGTAGATGCCTTGCGCGCTGTCAGGATCGTGAGCATCACCTCCAAAGCTGAGAGGGGCGAGGGAGGTACAGGGGAGGCATGGGCGACATGCGATGCACAGAGGCGAACGGATGGTATACAAATAGGACTGCAACTGCAAGCATCACCCCAGCCTGTACAAATAGGCCAAACCACCCTTACCTGTGCACATCAGCCATGGGGGTGGCCTTTGTGACTTGTAGTAAGCCGGGTCCACATAGCCCGGTGTGCCCATCACCCGTGTAGCTCCCACTGTCGTGCCCTCGCCCATACTCACCAGCCCAAAGTCTGCGACCTTTGCCTGCCAAGGAGGGGACGAGCAGCCAGTGGAGAAGCAACAAGAAGACAAAAGAATCTCATGGTACAAGCAGGGGTCTTTCCTTTGTGTGAATACTGCCACAGCGCATGAAAGCCACATGCAGCAAACATGTGGGTGTGCTGTGTGCCTGCCCGTGGCATGGCACTGAAAGGAAGCGCACAGATGCCACGTACGTTGCCACATTGCTCCAAGCGCGCACCTGCATCTTGCTATCAAGAAGCACATTGGCGGGCTTGATGTCGCGGTGCACGATGCCAAAGCTGTGGAGATACTGCAACCCCTCCGCCACTCCGATCATCACATCCAAGCGCTGCAGCAGAGTGAGCGGAAGGACGGAAGGAAGGAAGGAAGGAAGGAAGGAAGGAAGGAAGGAAGGAAGGAAGGAAGGAAGGAAGGAAGGAAGGAAGGAAGGAAGGAAGGAAGGAAGGAAGGAAGGAAGGAAGGAAGGAACAATAGTGACACACGGGGAAGAGGAGGGAAGGACAGCAAGGTATGGTGAGTAATGGGCTGGAGTAAGAACCCGAATGAGTGAGCTTCACGTTATTGCTAATCACCACGCCAGAGTACGATGGGCATGCGCTTGTGTGTGGAAGTGAGGAGGACAAGTGGGGCAGTGTGTGGAAGTGAGGAGGACAAGTGGGGCAGCAGAGGAGAGGGCATCGTAAGTTTGTAACACTCCATGAAAGCAAGCAAGCACGTGAGCACAAACACACCAGGGCCGAGCCAGAGTTCGAGGTCCCCATTGGGCATGAACTCGTAGACGAGGATCTGCTCCGTCTGCTCCGTGGCCTCGTTGACATCGATGCAAAACCCCAACAGCCGCACCAGGTGTGGGTGGTGCTTCGATGCCATCTCGTTCACCTACATGTGCGCACACGCAGGGGGGACAGCCGGCGGGAGAGAGGAGCGGGGACGGGAGCAAAAGCTTGCGAAGGAAACGTGGAGACAGAGTGGTACCAAGAGGTAACAATATCGTACCAAGGGACAGAAAATACCGTAGCGATAACCTGGTTGATCAGGAACGTGGTGAGCACTTCTTATTCATCAAGCAAGGAAAAGTCCTCAACCCCACACCAACTTCAACCCCACGCGCATACTCCACCCTGCCCACCTCGCGGCAGAAGAGAGTGGTGAGCTCTGGGATCTGAGTGGCTAGTCCCATCCACATCCCACTCCACTCACCTCCCGCCGGAAGTCATTAGTGAGCACTTTGGCGCGCTTGACAGCCCAGAGCGTGGAGGGGTGGGCGGGGTCGTGAGCGCGGTACACATCCCCAAACCCCCCGCTGCCGATCTTGTTGGCTTCCGCCCACATGCCCGTTGCCGCTGCCAGCACGTCCAGCCGGTACTGCCGACACACCGCCGCCCCGCTGCTGCCTGTGCTGGCCCCGACGGACCCTTGGAGCCACTCGCACTGCCTGAAGGGAGGGGAGGGGGAGATGGTTGGGGATGGGGGGTGCGGGAGAGTGGGGTTGAGAGGGGTGCGGAGGAGTTTTGAGGCGTATGCTGAGCCGGCTCAAGAACTACCAACACCCTTCCAATCCAAGCTCTTGAGACGTCTCAAAAGTGGACTCACAAGTCACCCTTGTCTTGCCATTCAACCTCCTGCTAGGCAGAGTCAAGAACAGCCTCTCATATTCCTCTACCTGAGGAGAAGAACCACTTGAAGAGAAGAACCACTCTTTTGTTGCGCTGACTCAAAATAACGACACTTATCCTACCCCTCCTATCTACGACCTGAGGTGCAGCAGCAGAAGCGGAAGGTTTTTGGAGTCCTCTATAACCAACTGGGCTCAAGCAACACTTGTCCTACCACTCGTATCTACCTGAGGCACCAGCAGCGGCTGAGGCGGATGCAGCAGCTGCTGCTGCAGCAGCAGCGGCGGCATCATCGTCAATCTGTGAGAACGGCTTTGGTTGTTTCCGTCTGCGGAAGAAGAGCAGCGGCAGCAGCAGCAGCAGCGCGAGCACGGAAACACCCGCCACGGCAATCCCCGCAATGGCCCCCACCGACAGCCCCGATGAGGAAGGAGGAGGCGGGGGAGAGGGCGATGGAACGGAGGGAGGTGAGGTAGGAGAAGGAGGAGGGGAAGGGGGTGTTGATGAATTGGGGGCAGGTGAGATGGGGAAGCAGGTGGTGTTGGTGAGGGGAGAGATGATGGTGAGGAGCCTCCTGGAGGGAGGATGACTGGAGGGTTAACAAAATCTACCAAATAGACAAAAGGGGAAGGTGTTGGGGGGAAAGTAACAGAAAATGAGAGTTGAAGCAACTGATTAAACAAAGAGCTACATAGTCTTAAGTGCCACAAATGAGGAGGGGTTGGGTCGATATGATGCAATCGGAAGGGACTCCTGGGAGGATCCATCCAAATCAAGGAGATTTTAAGTAGGGAAGGAAAGGTTGGGGATGAAATGTGTACACCCAACCCAACCAAACCAGACTTACTAGAAGTTATGAAACTTAAAAAATTAAGACTAGCACGAAGTGCAGACTTTTTCCAACTTAAAGAAGTTGTGTTGTGTGGGTTGTAAAGGAGGAGCATGCGGTGCGTATGAGATGAAAGATGTGGGCAGGAAAGATGCCGGCATGTGTTGTTGGCAGGTAGAGAAAGGGAGGATGAATGCAGTGGCGAGGAGATTCTTTGAGACGCCTAAAGAAGCATTCCATGACTTGGTGGCA